TTAGAAGACCTAGGTATAAATGGGACAGTGTTAAAGAAATAGGAAGTAAGGTGACATTGGACCGCCTCAGGATAGGTTTCAGTGATAAGCAATTGTGAACATGGTAGTGAAGATTGAGTTTCCATAAAGGATATGGAATTTCTTGGCCACCTGAGCAGGTATCAGCTTTTCAAGTAGGGCTCTATTGTACTGTGCTAGTTCAATAAGATTTTTGTGTTTATATTATAGTACCAAGGTCCATAATTGAATCATGGTACTAACAAATGTGCAAGGAAAACAGATGACACTTGAATGTGATGATGACATTTTGAAAATCTTTAAAGGAAGAAATTAAATTTCTTTAACACAATTTCATATTTGGATTTAAACTTTCCCCTATATCAAACATGGAAGTGTCCACTTCCTCCCTCAGCACTTCATCTGTCAACTTGACACCATTGTGTGATGCATCCAGCAAAAAATCCAAGAATGCCAGCCTTCGCTTTGTGCCTGTAATCCATTAAAAAATACTATGTGCCAAGTTATTTGCACTTTCTTGTGACATCTGTATTCAAATTAATTTCCAAAATTGGCCTCGTCATAACAGCACTTGTAAAACAACTCTCTGAGGTCTAGTATAGTTACTGAGAATTTTCAGGCCAACCACGTGTGCCTCAATAGAAGTAAGCAAATATCAAACTGGCCATTATACAGTACAGATAATTAGATAGAAATTTTAGCGATATTAAATTTGTTTTCTTAATTTTTCTACAAGTCTGACTTTGATAATCCCAATAGTACTGGATATTAAATGATGTTACAATTTGTTTCCATTGTCAAATTCAAGTTACTCTAAGAAATAACACTGAGCAGTGAGCAAGTAAAGTTGTCTCATTACATGCTATGTAGGGGCTTGGGAGGAGAGAAGGTACAGCTTCTTGTCATTCTTGACCTTGGTAGTAGATGGGAATGAGTGGTCAGCATCATGCCTCAACCATGCTTTACTCCCAGGGAAAGGTTTTCCAGTACCCATCAGATAGGCTGAGTGGGCTTTAGAGGCAATCTGGATCCAAAGGTTAGTAGAAAAATCCTTTGCCCCTGCTGAGGATCAAACCCTGGTCATTCAATCTGGAATAAGACACTATACCAGGTGAGCTACCCTGGCTGCATAGCAGGAGATACTCAGATTGAATGTAGACCTGTGAATGCAAGTTGTTGTCTTCCCAGCTTTTTACAGTAATCATAAAATAGGCCAAGATCATGTCCTTACTCATTTCTTCAGATTTATCATTCACAGTCTATCTGCAATGTCATAGCTGACTCTTTACCTTTAGCAGTTCATACAACACTCTAAAATAATAATAATCAACTAACCTAGAGTGGCCTCCTCTGTCGCAGGTGATGTCTCGGATTCTTTCTGTGTTTGGTTATGGAGTTCCTTACGTTCATGAATGACCTGGAACAGTGTATTACACCCTGCAACATGACTGTTCGTTTGTTAAATGAATTCTTTGATATTGCTAATGGAGCTAGCAATGTTGTGGAGCTTTCGTCAAGCATGCGTTATTTTCTGTTGTGTTTTCAGAGGAATTCCTTGTTGGTAAATTCAGTTTGTAATATACTGATCATTTAATTCAGTAGTTTAATAACATGCATTCAATTTTATGACATGGAAAAACTTATGATAAACAAACTCTTAAACCTTTTTTTAATCATGATTTTTCTGCATTATTTCTAATGCTGCTTAGTAGAATACAGTTCTTCCTGCCACTCAAAGATGGCAGCATACTGTACCATTTTTGTGAAGCCATGCAGAATTTTGAGGCACTCATCATATCTTCTCCCTGCTTTTGTTAGCTTAAATAACCAGTCTGGATACAGCCATGGATGAATCATGTGAAATAGTGTCAATTCGCTCATACTGCACAAAGACTGATGTCACAACATAAATAGAAACTTCTGTGTAACACACAATGCTTTCTTGGCTCATGGATCATTTACCCTGAAGATGGAGACAGCTAGTCTTCAGAATGTTGGTATTTCACTAAACATTAACATGGATGATTGCCCAAGACAATTTCATAACTTTGTTTGTATTCTGTTTTATATTATGTCATACAAGAAGCTTTCTTCCTCGTAAGACGGTGAAGTTGTATGTCTGCCCAAACAGACATGCCATGAATGCATTTAAGTGGCACTGAGGTGAACATTATGCATTTTGTACCTTTGCCTTGGGAAATTGTTTCATGCGCTCCTTCAGTTAGAGGCAGGCCAAACCCCGGGCACTGCACTGCCCATTCCAGGAATTGGTTAGTTGTGTTCTTCTGTGTACCAAATGTAGTTGAAAGTAATGATCAGGTCACTCGTTAACACGGTATATCATTTATTTCTCGAGAGTTTCAAATTAGGATTTCAGAAAGTTTCCAGAATCAATTTTACATTCTTCAATGGTCTTCAGATTACTTTACTGTCTGTACCAGATTCTGTCCTTGTTAATGACTGTCACTGATATGATATTTATCCCTGTGTTTTCATATAAATTCCTGACTTCCTACTTACTCATACTCAGCAGACAGATATTCTGCATCTGTTTCATCCTGGGTATGAACTGCTGTCCAAATAGCTGTCTCTGCAACATAGAATTATTATCTGATCATACAGCCTGACAGGTTTTCTTGAACTCTCTCAGTATTCCCACGCTAAGAACTTAGCATACTCCCTATCCATGAAGGGAAAATTTCTTGCATAAAATATAACCGATTTAAAAATTTGGCCTCTGACTTCAAGGAACACACCCCATTCTTCCGATGAAGTTAAGAACAGTACCTCTTTAGTTTCAAAACAATAAATGTAGGACTAATGTGATGTAGGGGTGTTACTGGGACCAACTATTTTGCATTTATAGAGTTAAATGGTTAAATGTTTTACCACATATGATGTCCGATGCGCACTTAGTGATGTATGGATACACGTTGAAGCCCTGAGATCCGACTTCCTTCTGTAGCTTGCTGACCAAAATCTCGCTCTTCTCCGAGAACACCTCCACGAAGTTGCCCAGGATCTTGAAATAGAAGGTCGGCGTGATCATCTTCCTGTGGGTGTGCCATTTATGACCTAGTGAAAGTTATAAGATTTGAGGTTTCTACAGCGGTGAGTATGAAGTTATCTGTCTTATAGGTCATTGCGCTGTGTAGTCTGGTCGATGTTTCATCGCCCTGATGACGGAGGGAGTATGACCTCTGAAACGTTGGTTAACATCGACCAGACTACACAGCGCAACAACCCAGAAGACATAAATGTTCATACTCATCGCCCTGATGACGGAGGCAGTATGACCTCTGAAACGTTAGTTAACATCGACCAGACTACACAGCGCAACAACCCAGAAGACAGAAATCGTCATACTCTGATGACGGAGGCAGTATGACCTCTGAAACGTTGGTTAACATCGACCAGACTACACAGCGCAACAGCCCAGAAGACAAATCTTCCTAGTGAAAGTTGTTTGAAAATATCATAAGACCCTGCCTATTCCACCTCAAAGAAGAAATCCAAACTGTTATAAATAACTGGTCCCTTCAGTGTAGATGTTCATGCTTAAACGGACAGACAGATATACTCTCTAACAGGGTGTCAGAGAAGGAATTTTGTTCCTCAGAATACTCGTACGTACCTGTGGAAGTGAGCAGGCCTGTTCCAAGCCAGGGATGCAGGAAATTGTACATGAATGCCTTATCTATGTGCTTACTACTGCCCAGAATTGTCTGAAACAATCACCAGAATCAAAAGATGACTTACTGTGGTCGCTATGGGAACCAAAGTTTTCACACATACACTGTGTCCCTTAACTATCTTTACAGCTTTAACACTTAACCAAATAATGAGATGAGATATCACAATGTAGTTTTTTTGCAACTCCTCTGGACTTCATTTTATGGGGATATGTTAAGGATGTTGTGTATCGAACAGAGGTTCGCAATTTGGAAGACCTGAGACGAAGGATTACTGCAGCTATCGCAACAATTGATGCAGGGATGCTAGAGAGAACATAGCAAGCAATCGAATTACGTCTTGACGTGTTACGTGCAATTAATGGTGCTCACGTAGAGGTGTATTAAAGCAAGAAAAAAACTTTGAGAGTTACTCTTTCATATGCAAACAACCGAAAAGGATATGTCATCTCATTATTTGGTTATTAAGTATTGAATTTTAAAGATAAGTACCTCGATGTGTTCTGGTTTCATGAGATTTATTTCTGGCACATGCCCCATCCGCGTCCGATACAGAGGCTAGTACCTGTCGCACTCTCTGCTTCGCGTGTACAACAGATCTTAATCAAAAACATCGCCTGCTGCTTTCATCTTCAGCATTGTAGGGTTTGAGGTTTCCACGGCGATTGGTCCGAAGATGGCTGTCTTCTGGATTGTAGCGTTGTGTATGCTGATGATACAGGCAGAAGTGACCTCTGAAGCGTTGGTAAACTTGTACCAGACTAGTACACGGCACCACAACCCAGGAGACAGCCATCTTCGGACTGAGGCAGCATCATTGAAAACGGTTTAGGAAGCAGTGGAAAAATTCGCATAGTTACAAGGCGTAGAGAACACATTTAAATGTTTAAAAGTAATTGTTAACTGTATGCTCCACCAACTTTAGTATTTTGCCCATCTAATGTATTTGTGTGTTACTTACGATCCTCAAAATAAACAGCTAGTATTTCTTTAAATTGCATTGTCCAACTGATCATTGCCATGCATGTATTGTGTTTTATTTGAGGTAAGAACTGTTTGTTTTAATATTATGCAATTGGACTTCATGCTTCATGCACACTGGTGTACGAGTATGTAAAATAAACTTGTAGAGTTTCTCTTTCTATAGTCATGTCCTATATTACCATCCATTGCACCATTGAAGTCTAGCGATTTTTTGTATAGTCACGGAATTATGAATAACTTTGTGTGTATATATATATATGGTGCATGATATTCTTTGGAAAGTCGATTGTATATTCGGCTTGTCAAACAATAGAGTACTTTCTTTACGGAACCAGAAGGTCCATCGCCGTGTTCACAAACCCCTGCCACCGGACTCTGTCCCGAGCCAGGTGCATCCAGTTCTCTCCATCGATTCCTGTCTCCCTAATGTCCATCTTAATCTTATCCTCCCATTTACTCCTAGGTATTCCCAGCGGTCTCCTCCCAGTGTCAGTTCATAACAAGGTATTGGTTGCTTCCAACCAATACCTTGTTATGAACTGACACAGTAATAAATTCCTTCCACTGCTGTGGCATTTTCTCCTTATCCTGTATAGAGCAGATAAATTCGTGTTTTTTGGGACGCAGAGTTTCGCCTCCGGCCTTGATCAATTCGGACGGAATCTGACCAGTACCCGGGGATTTATAATTTTTAAATTTCTCAATGGCAGTCTCCACTTAAGTAAGGCTAGGCTCTGGCACTAATGGGTCAGCCGTGTTTACATCTATCTGCGTAATATCATGAATCGATGCTTTTGAATTATTAGACAAAAACACGGAGGTTGCTTCTTTTGAAAATTGTGTCACAGACCGAATTTAATACAAAAATGTAATTACACGTCCTGTCACCATGTCATTATCCTAAAGTATTTTGCAGTTTGAAACATCAGTCATTAAAGACGCTAACACTAAATTATCATCATCATATTCGTTAACATCTCAGTTTTTAATTTATTCTGAAATGCACTAACTGTTTGCATGAAATACGGTTACTTGATGAGAGGTTTGCTACGTCCCTAGGTTTCTAGAAATGTCTACCGATTGCATGGACCAAAGTCCTTGAGAGGTTTACGGTGACTCAGCTAATCAAGAAATTATTATTATTATGAATTGTTTAATTGGTCCACAAGCAGCCAAAAACTTCAGG